GGCGCGCCCCGGGGCGGGGCAGGAGCCGGCCCCGTTCTCCAGCCTGCGCCAGCCTCCTCCACCCCAACGTGAGCTGAAGCAGGAAAATGGAGAGCTGAGGAGAATCCCTTCCTGAAGAGAAAAGGCAAAATACTCTGTCGCTAGCAGAGAATTTGCAAATACCTGTGCATACTGACAAGGAAACTCCCGGAAGGGGGAACATGGATGAATGATATATTGTAAGGCTCTATATATAGCAGCTAAGTGAGAATGTATAGTTAAAAACTACACAGACACCCTTTGTCTTTAAAACACAATACTTATAATGGCTAGCATCTACAGTAGCCTCTTGCAAACAAGATTAAAGCCCAGGCTTGTTCTGGCTGGGTAACCCTGGCCACAGAGACAGCGTGGGTTTGGGTATCCCGCGGTCTGCTACCTCAGGAGGAGACTTTTGGCGAGGAAAGAAAAAGAAATTATTCCCATGCTGACATCCCAACAACCCCAGAGACTTTCAGATTTCATTCCTTCGCTTTTTTGGGTCGGGGGCGGGGGGGTCAATGTTACAACCACAAGCAACAGTGCCTGGTTACTGAGGCACCCGTCGCGGAGTACCAGTACCATCTGCTCTGCATTGTCAGGAAAACACCGTTCCCAGCATCCCAGACTCTAAGCAGTCTCCTGCAGCTGCCTATTTGCACACATTTCTCACAGCAACAGTCTGAATTCACAACACTGCAGCATTTGTCCAGTTACGCTTCCCACCGACCACGTAAATAAAGTGACAAGTGACTTGAGAGATGAAAGCCACGTGCCAATGGGAGGAGATATAAAGGGGAAGAGACAGATAGTAAGTCACAGCGGTCTTCCCCTCCCTCAAGCTCCTTTAGAAACAAAACAATACAGAAAAATCCCCAAAGATGTGCTTCGGTTGCTAAAGGATAAATTAACAAAGCAAAGCAAATCAGGAGCAAAGACATCTCCCACAATCTGTACAGAAACAACAAAATATACAATAGAAAATGTCACTAACACCCCATTCAGGCAGATGCACTTATTTTTGTGAATGACAGCTTATCAAAGGAAAAATGTTTTGACCACCGGTATTCTGCTGCATGGACGTTCCCCTCGTTGTCATTTATACCCTAAGTGACCTTCTGCTTAACGCTGGGTGTTTCTGGTCTGTAGTCCTTCCTCTCCGAGACGTTGCGTTTCACCTTGGCACTAACTGGAGACTCCTGATTCAACGAGGGACTCGAGTGGGATTTCTTCAGACCCGGCCCATCGTTCTCCCCGCTCAGCAGCTCCTTCACCCCTTCTCTCAGGAGGCCAACATAAATCTCATAGCGAGTTTTCTGAGGAGAGAAAAAAAAAAAAAAAAAAAAAAAGAAGAAAAAAAAAAGAGGCCTGAATCCCCCTGACAAAAAAAAAAAAAAAAATACAGGAGCACTTGAGAGAGAGTCTGGGTAACAAAATGTCTTCTGGTGGCCTTGAAAGCCGAGGGCTTCATACAGATGTGAACAATGGGGGCTAATGTGGGCACGAACAATAGTGGCTAATGCGTACTGCGCTGCAGAAAAGGATTCCAGCCAGGATGATCCCGGAGGCGCTCTGCAATCAGAGACACTTGTTTTGCAGCGTGCAAAGGGGGCTCTGCTGGCCCTGGCCCGCTGGGCCGCAGCGCCGGCTCACATAGGGCCCGAGGGGAGTACATGTGTCCCAAACCCTCATGTTTATCCGGGAGAAGTTGGCTTTGCCGTGGTCTCTTGCAGCGGCGCGTTCCCTCTGCAGCAGGAAAACCTGCGCTCCGCGTGCCACAGTAACCCCCTCCTGCACAGAAGGTCCCAGCAGCCCGCAAAACGGAGGGGATTAACAGAAAATCCCCGCAGGACCCCCGGGAGGCTCGCAGGTGAGGAAGGTGTTGGAAACAGCAACCCACCTTACGGCACGGGCTCAACAGCCCGTCCCTGACAGACCCACTGATGACGCAGTGCACACATTGTGTTGAGGTGATCGCAGTGGGCTGGGGTATTGAACGTTCCCACTGATTGTTCATCTGTTTTTCCAGGTAATAAAACAGCCACCAAATTATTATGTTCCTGACTGAGCAAAAAGTGCTTAATGAAAATTCTTCCAATTTATAATAAAATAATAAAGTTCAGGTAATAATACTACCTATTTGAGTGCCTTTTCTAAGGGCAGAAAATAGAAAAGCTTAGGAGCTGCTTTGAAGACTGAAATGAAAAGAAAAAAAAAAAAACAAAGGAGAGAATGTGACTGGGTTTCCAAAGAGTCCTTTGAATAAATAAAATCTCATAAAGGAGGATCAAAAGACAATCTACCTAAAAATTAAATGAAGGAAAGCATTCTTATCAATTCCATATCTGGAGCTGCAGCTCCACAGTGCAAGAGACAAACGTATTAAGCAGGTAAGATGTGTCACTCAATAAAAAAGGAAAGAGAAAAACAGCAAGCGGGAGTCTGATGATGCAGAGGGCTGATGAATGATTCATCACACAATGAACGGGGCACCTCTGCAAAAAAAGGGATGGCAAGCCAGGGCTCTACGCCTGGAATCAGCATAATATTCATGGAAGGAGAGAGGGACATTGCTGCCGTATGGATTTCTGCATTTCATTAGACCAGTAAACACCACCAGGGTCGCAAGACCTGGCAATCAGAATGGAAACCTGGGACCAGTTTTTGCCCTACGCTTCAGTCAAAGAGCGTTTTGCCTCCAGATCTGCGGGTCCAGAATTTCTTTCTCGGTTAAACAATATGTTAACAAGTTTCCCTTTCAAATTCAACTGCAAGCTTGTTCTCGTAAGTGTTATGACATTTGGAGCTAGGTATTCAAGCTGGTGGATTTTTTTCTTCTTTTAAAAAAAAAGAGAATACGGAAAATTCTGTCAGGAGGGAAAAGACATAAAAGTTAAAAGAAAAACATGCAAAGGCTTTTGGCTTCAGGCTCTGAAGGCTGGATGCACACAATAAAGAGGAGTTGAGGTAGCCACCCAGCATATTTCTATGGTTTCACCTCTCACCTGGCAACACTCAAAAGCCCTCTCTCACACCTGAGATTCCCACCATGAGCAATCATCACCTGGAGCAGCATATTCTCAGACACCCAGCCAAGAAAAAACTAGCATGGAGAAAAGCTCAGGGTTACATCTCTGGAAAAAAAAAATAGGCAACTTCTGGTTCACCTCCCCACACAGGGAGATACCATCCCACTTGTCTTCTATTGGGAATAAGAATGAAGGATACTCAGATGGTTTAGAAAGAGAAAGTATAAGGGCATACAGACACATAATGTGACCTCTTCCTGGTCCTAATAGGACCATGCTGCTTCCTTTTGGGAAGATCTTTTCACTCGCTTCTGTGGATGTATCATCAGCATGGTCCTCTGCACACCAGGGTGGACCACCTTGCATTGACCTGCCACCTCAGCCAGAAAGAGCCCAGGGCAAAATGCTGCCCTTTGGCCAAAGCCCTTTGGCTTTGACCTCCTGCAGCAACGTTTGTCACCAGCTCCTGCCTGGCCCTGGCAGGACTTGGTTTTGAAGACAGGGGGGGAAACTGGTGGGAAGGGTTCCAAAACCAGTGGAAATTTTCCATTCTTCAGATAGCTCTCATGTTTTTCATGTTTTTCAATGTCCTGTGAGAAGTGTGCCAAGCACGAAGGTAACAGAGCTTTGCAGAGCAGCTGCTTGAACCACCTTTTCTTGCACCTGACAGAAGCTGGTACATCATTTGCCTGTCCAGACTGAGTCCCTGGCTCTGCTGATGGCACATGCAAACTGCAAGGTTCAATGGTTAATCAAGCCTACTGGCAGGGTGAAGGTTTTTTCCTGTGCTGTAGCTCTTTTTCTTTCAACAGAGATACCTGAAAGAAGCAAGCAACCAAAAAAAGCACAAAAACTTCTTTTGTCATCAGTTGTCTTCTTAAATTATCACATAGTCCAGACAACACTTCACTCTAACTCAAAATGCTTCCAGAAGCAGGAGAAACTAAACTTAGTGTCAGACAGCCCAAACCAAATAAACTCTTTATTCTCCTAAGCTGCAGAAGCCACCTCCAAACATTCTGCGGAGGAGGAGTTTAAGGCTCGCTCGGCACATCCAAGCACTGTGCTCAACACTGTCATCAGCCTTACAGAAACCCCGTCCCCCTTCTAAAACAGACCAGGGCTTGATCAATTCCAGAAACCCAGACAGTCCTCCCTGCTGAGCAAGGCACCAGGGCAACAAGGTCACGCGACTCGGAATGGCTCTGGTCTAAGTCCCTTCCACTCAAAGCAGGGATACCTAGAACACATCGCCCAGGACCATGCCCAAATGGCTTTGGAATATCTCCAAGGATGGAGGCTCCACAGCCTCTCTGGGCAACCTCTCCCACTGCTTGGGCACCCTCTCAGGGGCAAGACCCAAGATGACCCAGTACTCACCCTCTGAGGACATCTCTAGTTACTGCCTCCACTTGGACTTTAAGCCACTGACCACAATCCTTTGAGCCTGGACATTCAACCATCTTTTGAGTCACCATTACTTGATTAGAAGATCTGCTGTGTTCAATTCTGTATCCTTGCTTGCCCATGGCTTCCTCACTTCATTGCTCATCAGTTTGTCGTATGTGTAGGATTTGAAACAACACACCCTCCAGCTGTGTTCCCCATGCAAAACCGTAAGAACAAATGCCAAATTCAAAACCTCTAGATTCCCAGAAGATTTTCCCTACCAGCAGTGGAGTAAGTGACCTTTCTTTCTGCAAAAAGAGCCTACAAACCTCAGTTTCGTCAAGAACTCTCAAACTCATACAGAAAAAAATACCTGTATTCTTTCTCTCCTTCACTGCTGGGCAGTATTCATTTAGAGCAAAGCCCTTTTGGACCAAAGCAGGCATTATGGCAGTCTTAAAAAGCACCAAGAATCTGCTGGGTTGTTCACTCCCTTCTACACAACCCTACAATGTGGCAGACACTGACAGATAAAAGATGCTGTAGGAACCTCGGAATAATCTCTTAATGCAGCTGCATAAATTACATTGCTGTCTCCTGTGATACTTCACTGCCCCTTTCCTGCTCCTCCTGATGCCCAGATCACAGGTACACAGAACAGAAAAGCTCTGATGAAGCACGTGTGTGAGTTAAGTTTTAAAATAGCTGTTCCTTCAAAAGATACCAATAAAAACAATTATCATGACCTGTATTACAGCAGCATGTCGTCATTTCAGGTAAACACTGGGGTTCTGTTGTGCTAGGCAACACAGAGCCTTATAACGAGAAAAAAAAAAAAAAAGCCTGAAGAACTTGTAATCTCTTCTAAGGAGATATAACAGACAAAAACAGAAAGTGTCACTTTTATCTCCCATTTCACACGTGAGGAACTAAGCCTGTGGCTAGGATAACTGGAAGTCCTTATCAGAAGGAGAAGCCACTGGAATTGTTGCCGTGTATCTATCTAACACGAAATCTTCCTCACTGAAGCTAAGATGCAATCTCAGATCTCTAGGACTGTATCCCAAGTGTGACCAGCTGTCCCCCACCGTGCCCCAAAACCCCAAGTGCTTCTCACACGTACCTCAAACTCTAGATAGTGATCCTTCAGCTTGTAGTCATCGACTTCCTTGCCTTTGAGCTTCTTGTCAGGAGGATAGGAGCGATGCTCGGCGAGCTCAGTAGAGACCTGCTTCAGCTTAGCTTCATGGGATTTCAGCTGTTCATCCTTCAGAAACACATTAGGCACTTAAGTGACAGAATCTAAAATATTCAACAAGCAAAAGAAAATAAAGAGAGACCCCTGTACAATAGCACCAGGTTGTTCCTTTTCCTTTCTCTCTCTTTCTTTAAACTGATGTTAACTAAATTGCTAAGGCAGAGCTCTGTCCCCAGCAGCAGCCTCCACGGGGTCCAGTCAAAGCAGGCAGATTTGCACAAGACAGCTCCGTAGCTGGCAGATGCCACGGGGAAGGAGAGCAACCCCGTCACCCCTCACCTGGCTGAGGGCAATGCAAGCAGCTTGCTGCAGAGCTCTGCTGACAACATGACACGTCTGCTCTAACACATTTGTGGCAAATTAATTAAGGCTGTTGTATGCAGTCAGTCCAAGGGCACAATGCAGCTCCCCGTAAAAAAAGTAGCTCCTTACAAGACAGAATGAACATACATGTAAAGCCCTTTTTTTTTCCATTACTGCACTACCAAATGCTCCCTGATCTGTGATTTCTGTTCATTTAGAACAACACACTACATCCAGAAGAGGAAGTTTGTCCTCTCCACAAAAGGTATCTTGTTTTGCTAAGCTCCTACCAACTTTTATCCCACTGTGCAGTTGGAGGGAGTGAGAAGGCTGCTATTCTGTGTTTCTAGGCAATTTCCTTCATCGCAGTCCCAAAACCAGTCACTTCCTCCAGCCCATCTGTGCAGGGAACAGCTACCCTTCGCTCCGCTCAGCAGGCCTCCAGCTCCTGCAGCACGGCCTTCTGGCCACTTCTTGGACCTGAAACCCCGCTTGCTTCAGGAAAGTCCAGAGTGCAGACATGGCCACGCAGACCTCAGTGACTTACAGCCACATGAGCAGCCAGTTTTGCAGCGCCCAGCTCAGACACCAGCACCAGGAGAGCGGGTCCTGGCACTGGCTGCTCCCCACTGGCACTGGCCATGCAGCACGCAGGCTCAAGCCTAACTCGGGCGTATCTGTACTGAACTGTTAATCACACCAGGGACTGAGCCTCTCAACTCGCTTTACCCGCGCTGCAGAAAGAACAGAGAGACTTCTACAGCTGAGCCTCGGCTAACCTTATGTTTTATCTCTTCCACAGAGAACTGCAGAAGGAAATATGTGGGATAATTTGCCTCCGCCTCTACATGGTAGGGCTCAAAATGATCTCTATTGGTTGACAAAAATTCCTGTTGCTGTTAGTAACTACTCTGGATCTGCTTGCTCTTTCTATCCGTGCCCAATCTGTCTTCAGCGCATTGTGCTAAGCCCCCGGCCTCAGTGACATCCTATTGCAACGAGTTCTCCACCTCCTGATGACAGGGGGTCCTTGAGCAAATAATAATTTGGCCCTTTCATGCTCCAGGCCTCTTGGTGTTTCTGTATGCACATGCAAGCCCTCATGAAGAAGCAAAACAAATCTAGTCGATGTCTTCTCGACCAGCCACTCCTTTATGTGCCTTTGTCACAGCTCCTCACAGTGACCAAGATCAGATATTGAAGGCAAACTGGGCACAATGATTTTACATAACTTGTCACGTCCTCCTGTCTTCCCAGGTCACATTACATTCCCGCTGCATCCTGACATCTGCCTGACCAGGCCCTTTGAAGAAACACTGGGCATCATGATTCAGGCCACAAAATCCTAAACAACAACCAGAGATTTGAGAACTCGTATTTTGTTTTCTGCCAAACAACAAGAAGCCTGCTGGCAGCTTTTCCACACTGACAGATATGAGCAGACATGTTTCTGCTTGTCTTTGAATTTATCTGCTTCGAACACTTAACATTCTTCTGCCTTCAGCTAGAACAGTTTATCTTGTTCCACTTCTTATGTCTTCTCTTCTTCAAGGCATACACCACAGGGCTATGTTCTATTCTTTTCCCTTTTCAGATTAAATGGAAACAATGAGACTAGCAAATAATGTGCTAAATAATTGAATAATCATACAGAACAAGGATGAGTAAAAAGGCTTTTTTTGGTGACAATGGGTAAATTATTGAAAGCACAAGTTGGACTACAGTATAAAAAAGGTGAAAAAAAAAACGAAAAAAAATAGTCTGTATGAACAAAGTGTAAAACCACAAGGACAAGACAAGTTAGTATTATCCTGTATGAGACACGCTTTAAACTTCAGCCTAGAAAAGATGGAAAGTCGGTCACCACGTCATAAGAACAGCTACTGTCACAGAGAGGGAAAAAGCAGGGGCAACATAAAAAGTACCACCTTTGGGAAATGCAGATTCTGAGATAATGGTTTCTAAGGAGTGTTGCTAAGCTGTGATGATAGCAAAAAAAAAAAAAAAAAGAAGGCATTTAAGAAGCCATCCTCCAGGGAGACGGCTTGAAAAGCTGCAGGAGTTTATTAGCAAAGAATACACCTAGGTTTGTGCTCTGTCCCCTCCTGACGTGTCCAGCCTGATTTAAACACCTGGTGGTGCGTTCCTGCTGGCGCAGGAGCGGTTGCAGGTATGCATCACAGCTCCTAAAGCACACACAGCTACGAGAACAAGCTTCAGACATAGCCAGTCTGCAGCAACCACAAGCAGGTTTTCTTTTTTTTTTTTTTATGTAAGAGGAAAAAGAGCTGTGAAACTCTCTCCCACAGGATGCTGTATATACTAAAAGCTTATATGGTCATATAAGCTGAGACCAAAACAGTTCATGAATACATATAAAACAGGAAATCCCTGAGCTGATAAGGGTCAGAGTCTGGAAAGGTATTAGAAGTTGTACTTCTGTACGGCTGAGGCTTGCCCTGGTCTTACCTTTCTCTACAAACTCCCTTAGGACAGAGAATGAGAGGGATCTTTGATCTGACTGACCCAATACTGCTGTTCCTATGGGCTCGCTAGTGGGAGTTGAGAGCAGCTTTGTGGCTGGTCTAAATGAGGTGATCAATCAGCTTAGCCCTTGCATCACCCCAATAGTCTGAAAGGGTCAGGTGAACATACATGTTGTGTAGTCAGTAATAAACACCCAAATTAAAAAAAAAAAGGCAGAAAAAAACCCCAAACCCACTGGTCAGACAGTATGAAATGTTGAGATATAGCAATGGGATGAAAATTCTACATCCAGTACCAGGAGTTGTTGGGGATTTTCTTTTCTTTAGAAAATTAAACAACTACATTCAAGCCTGCTCCCCTGCTTAAAATGTTGTGTCAGGAAACAAGCAAAGAATTATCCTGTTATTAGAGATCTGTGCAGGCCTATTTCTCATAGGGATGCCAATGGTAACAGGAAAAAACAATTTTAAGAACCATCTGCCGGACTCCAGCCAGTCATAGAAATCTCCATGACCTAAGCTCAAGCTAAAAACAGCTCACCTGAGATAGCTTTGTTGTGGTGGCTGGCAGGAGTGGGCGACTGAATTTCTTCTGAGACCCAATTGCAGCTGGAAATGGTGGTGCAGAGAAGACTGCAGCCACACAATTAATCTTGTTGATCCAGGCCTGCATTTCTTCTTGGCTCCTGAGGAAGAAACACATTAAACATATTAAACATCTGTTGAGGTAGCCTCTTCCTTCTTGTTCACTCCCCTTCAATTTCAATTTTAAAAAAGGGAAAACGAGAAACTGGACAAGTTTGTAGAAACAGCTGACTTTTGTGGTCTCTCTTTGAAAGCAGTTAATGTCAGGTACCTCAGTCACAGGCTGGCCCATGAATATATCCATAACCCATCCTAACAGGCAGCATGCCCAGACCTGCCTTGCTGATTTTGTAGGAAGCTAGTCCTACAGAACCTCCCAAACCTGAAGGATAACTCAGTGTCCTCATTCTGACCTGACATGAGGCACTCATAACACATGACACTCATGACACTGTGTCCTCATGCATCAAGCTATTAAAACTCGACTGTTTCCTTACGGAGTTAAACTTCTGTTTTCAGGGCTGATGCTGTTACAGCAGTGCTGGGAGTGGCATGAGACACAAAACCAGAATCTCTCGTGTCTTCATCCTTCCAGAATGGCTACGGCTCCTCCTAAACCTACCCAAGTGAGTGACACATGCCACAAAGCCAACCAATGCCTTGATTCCAACGCATGCCTAAGGCTTCAACTCTACAGACCATTTGTGCACCTCCTAAATTTCTGCGAGGTTTCAAGGGAATCTCAGAAAAAGATGGAAAAGATGGATTTGTGTAGAAAACTTATGCATTGGTTTTCACTGCCAGAAGTGAAAGGCAGGTCATCTGTTCTGTCTGGATACCACAGGCTGAAAAATTTAATCAAATTATTCCTAGATTGAATATTAACTTTGTTTCTGACCAAAGTGTATCTTCTAAAGAGACATCCAGTTAATACCTGATGATATCAGGGGACAGACAATCCAAGACTGCCTTTGGTAATTTGTTTAAATGATTAATCACCTTGGATATTAAAACTTTGTGCCTTGTCTCCAAATTGAATTTCCTACAGCTTCAACTTCCACCTGCTGCATCTTGTCATGCCCTTTGCAGACAGATAGATTAAAAAGCCTCTTAAAACCCAATGCTTCTTTCTCATGAACAACTTGTGTGGCCTAACTAAATCACGTCTTAATCTTATTTCTGATCACATAAACAGACTGGAACTCTTAAGCCTCTACCTTAACCTGCCCAGACTGGTCCTTCAGCAGTGCTTGCTTTCTTCAGCCATTGGCACAGCCCTCTCAGCCAGCTCACAAGAGAGACTTACTGGGCTTGGAAAAGCAGGACCCTCCAGTCTGCTGTTTTCAGCTTGAGAACGTTAGGTTTCTTCTCATAGTCCGTTGCCTTGGATGCCAGAGCATGATGCACACTCACTGCATTCTTCAGATCTTCCTCTGATAAAGCCTTTTCTGGTTTATATTCATCCTGCGTCAATTAACAGGGGAAAAGAAAGGTATATATTTATATACACTTTCACGTGACACTGTTCTTTATTTTAAGGAAAAATCCTCTTCTGTATGGTCTCTGAACATTACTGAAGTACATGAATTGGGTGCAATATGATTTGAGCACATGCAGTTCCCACCCCCTTAAAAAAAATGTATTTTTAACATATTTCCAAGGGATAGAAGTATTTCCACTACCTGCTTGCTGGGAACAGGGGTAAACGAGGTGTGTTTGTTTAGGTCGCAATCCCTACAGACGACTTGTCTTCACTTCAGAAAAGCTCTGCGAGGAGCTCCCCACTTCCCAGCTGCTGGTTCCTGCTTGAGCTGCCAACCTCCACTGCCTCATTTTCCCTTTTCTCAAACAATCACCTTTGTACCTCCTACGAGACAGGCCTCACACGGCGGAGGAGCCAACCCATCACTCTCCATAAAACAGTTATGGGAATCTCCTTTAAACCTCTCCTTTGCTGCAATGCTAAGGAAAAAAAAAACAAAACCTAGGAGTAGTCAACCTGTCACGCTGCTGACAGCATGATGGGCACCACACAGCTCCTCTGTAGCTCTTGTTACAGCTGCACCCATCTGCTGTCCTTATTACAGAAATAAGGAAGAAACCCCTGGGGCTCTCAGCCCTGTTGCCAGTTCCAGCACTTTGTAGGATCTCTCTGTGCGCCGTGAGCAGGGATTGCCTCTGCTGGGGGTCTGTAAGAGCCCAGCACAAAACGGTCCCCATTTCTGATGCAGAAACAGCACTGTTCATAGCAGTAAATAACAAAACACAGGGCCAGAGGAGTGCCTCGTGGCACAGGCATCAGCCTGGGGACAGTTTGTGATCTCCTGAGCCACAGGACCTAGGGGAGTGCACAGCACGGTGCTGTCACCTGCCCGCAAAGGCTTGCTGAATACAGGGCAAACTAGCAACTTTTTCAAGAAGAAGCTGCTCACTAGCCATGTTGCAACTGTGAAAGTACATCCTTGTTCCCTAAGAAGCAGCTAGAAGCAGACTGTAACTGTGTCCATTTTTCTCCTTCAGTGGTATCACAGAAATCAGTTTTGTCTGATACACCCGACAGGACAGAAAGTGTGATAGCTGCAAACGAGGAGAGTCAGCCCTGGCACATGTAATAACTACTGATCACTTCCCACAAGCACAAGAGCTGGAATTTAGGAGACAGAAGAGCACAGCACTCTTGCCAGGACAGCCCTTGCTTGAAGTATCCATCCCTAAAGGAATGGGCTAAAGTGCAAGAACCAACTTGGGGGGTTTATCTGGTGGCTACAATACCAGAGCTGCGGCCACTGGCAGCTACATGGCATTTGTGCTCTTGCCAGGCTGGATTTCATAACACAGCTGTGGGGTCAGTTTCCAGGGATAGGGAATCCCCACCCTCTCCCAGGCAAGACTCAAAGCTTCCCACTCCTCTGCTGCATCTCTTAATTGCCAAGGAGGCTCAGTCAATGTTGGCTTGGGATCTGCAGCTCAGGTCCCTGCCCAGCATGTTAGGGAGGAGTTAGCCAGCTGGTTATACAGCTACCAGACTTTGGGGTCTGGCAGGAGCACAAGCAGCCACGCATCAGCAGCAAAGACCAAGGAGGGTGGAACTGAGGTACCTTCAGCCTCACCACCCGCAACGGAAGGGGGTTTCAAGGTTAAGGGGTTTTGCTGGTATACAGAAGCCAAACCCTCCTCTCTTGCACTGCCACAGCTGCTGCTGAGACCCAGCAAGCCTTGGGGGCAGCTCCTGATGGACACTGCCCCCTCTCCCAGTCAGGACACTTCCTAAAGGAAGACTCAGGGAAGATCACAGGCCACAGACCACTGCTGGAGGGTATCCTGAAAACGAAGCAAACAAGCCCCCAGGTCAACTCCCTCTTCATGGTTGCAGAGCTGATTTATTTGGCAGTAGTTTGGGGATCACTAGGATCACTCTCCAGGGAGACTAGGAAAACACTAAGGTGAGGAAATGAATTTAGGCAGCCCCTACAAGAAGGTCATTCTGGCTTTCCTCAAGGCGCTGCCTGGAGGCAGTAGCAGCTCTCACCTTGGTGATTCCAAGCTTCACGTGGAAGAGGAGTCCGACATTCACACCACGCTCTGGTATCTAAACCTGTTCCAGAAGAAGTCCCCTTACGGGCAGTCACAGAAACAGTCCTTGCTAAGGACATTTCCTTATCAATGGATGAAGGTTATGGTAATCCTTGCTAATCCCAGTGGATCAGCTATTCGTAATTTACCTTGACAGCTGGGGCTCTGCC